GCTGTCTAATGCAAAGTGATGCCCGTGCCGTGTCACACGGTTTGTGTGCTTGCCACCATTCGCCACCGTGCTTTCTCCTCATGTTTTATCCCGTTACACTTTTGGCTGTGAGATGTGCCTTGACCAACCAACCGGCTGACTTCATTTGTAACGTGCTGTCAAAACAACAAAGGTCTTACGTACATTTTGAAAAGCTGGACAGTGTCTTACCATTGAGGATATCAAATCAAATGATGCAAAAATCACTTTGGACATTTTCTGTGCCTGACTTTAGTGTTTATTACGTTAAAAAAAGGGAGGGGGGGGGTGTTTTGTCCTTGTTTTATGAGTTGGAAAATCCAGAGTGACATCATTCCCGATATAATGAGACAACTTACACAGTTGTGGGGCAACATGTTTTAAATTCTGTTTGATTCGTTAAAACTCGGCACGGAAACAAAATAGAAAAATGGCATGAATACTAACTATACACCTGAGACCTTGGTCTTTCATCTGGTACACATTTTGTTTTCCTTTCATGTATGTCTAAGAAATATGTAAGAGTGTAAAAAAGTGTGACGTCAAGCTCCTGTCACCTTCATCGAACAAAATACTCTGGCTAAAACCGCTCTGTGCTCTTACCCATATCAATGAAATAGCTTTCTTAATGAATAAAATCATTTTTACCATCGTTGTGATTTCCTTCATGTACATGTAAAATAAAAATTAAAAAATATCCCATAAAAAGCCATTGACTGTGTATCCTGTGTAAAAAATTGGATTTCAATGTGGTCATGATGAGATCGTTAGCTGTTTCGGGACCATCCCTGTTTGGGCGCACAACTATTCATCATGACCTCTTCTGCTCTCCGGTTTGAGACGTTTTTATGTCTTTGGCCACCGTGGGCTGAGCTAATGACGGAGCACATGCAGGCTGTTTGTTTGCCTCCGCACTCATGCGCACAAAATCAATTTCTCACGTTTCTGGCTAATATGTCTCATCTGATTTGATTGATCAAACTACACATGTTCAACAAAATTGACAATTGGGAAATTGTCACCCCAGAATATTCTGCAGTGTTTTGAGTGTTTGACCCTGGTTCTGAAACCAGGGTCAAATTAAATATTCTGCAGTGTTTTGAGTGTTTGACCCTGGTTCATCTGAAATTAGGTGTTTGTCTCTTGGTGCCTTAGTTTTCCACCTCTGATTTGCAACTATACCTGTTTTGTCGGTCACTGCTTTTTTTTTTTTTTCCTACTAATGCATTATGTACGGCGCTTCGTTTTAGTGCGAAGCTGTGTTTAAATGTGCTCTATAAATAACCTTTACTTACTCCATCTCACTCAAAGTCAGCTGGGCAAGGCGGTGGTTGTAGTGTATGTATGGATGGCATTTTCCAGGCTGCCTGTTTCGATCAATCATGATTTTTTTAATTTATTTTTTTTCCCCCCAACAAGTCCTTGCCACTTTTAAACCGTGTTTATACCCTGTCTGTGGAGTTGATGGTCCATCACATCATCTCTTTCATGCTACCCCGAGTTGAGTTAACAGACAACTCTGAACTTTGCACTGTGACTTAGTGGAGAACATGCATGCCTTGCACGCACGCACACACACTTGCCACAGGCTAAGAAGACTAAATGAGGCTTCACCATATCCAGTTAAAGCAGCGATGCTGTCAGCAATAGGCGATGCATGCATGTGCCGTATTTATAAGATAAGGAAAAGCCAGGCTCCTCTGACCACCCTCGCTGCATTAATCCGTTTAGTTTGCACTGGCAAAGCTACTTCTAATAGGGACACAAAGTTTGCCCACCAAATCTCTCACGCTAATGAGCAGTCGAGCGTTTGCTCGGCCCAAGTGTACAAATGTTGCTTCTTTGCCTCCTGCCAGTACAATTTCGGGTCACATCTGCTTGTGTAACAAATATTGGAAACAAATATATAGAAGCACATGGAGCATGTTTTCAAATGTTTTCACTCAATGCAGGATTCCACCCAACAGTATTGAAGCATTTCTCTTTGCTCATTGGTGTACGAAGACTGAAGAGGAAGTCTAGCTCGAAGAAGCTTATCTCGTCCACACGTTTAGTTTACGGTTGCAAAAGGTGCTTTGGATTATCCGACCACAACCCACGGCAACAATTCCATGTTCGATGCCAGACTTCATTTTTTTTTTTTCCTTTGCTTACAATAAAATCAGCTCAACTGGTCTGAAAAAGAATCAGCCTTAACATTCCACAGGCAATGTTATCTTCCTGAATTTGGATTGACAGTGACGATACACACAATGAGCGATTGTTGTGATTGACATCGAGAGGTATTGATCAACAATATATGTTTCGTACATTCTTTTTCTGATTAAGAATGACTCTGCATTAATGCGGCTCCATGTTCACCTTGTCTGAAGTTTTTGGGCTCTTTTGCCCTGCATACAAATACAAACATTGTAAGCAAAGACCAAATGCGCTGTCATTTTTTAATTGAGGAAATGCTGAATAATGTCCAGCCTGTCAAATGTATCTCAGCACTCTGAGCTGCTTGCTGAATTCCAATTCAGATATCTTTTTTTTTTTTTTAATCGGATGGAAATTGAGTGAAGAAAATGCAGATAATGAATCTCGAATGTCGCTCAAGAAGACAGAACACCCATATGTCATATTGCAACAATTCGAGATGCACCGACACTACAACATTGATTCTTTAAGGTAATAACACTTTCTCAGCCGATTATAAATTACGCTCTGCAAAATGGATGAATGCCGCTCGGGCGGCAAAGGAGGCTGCCGCCGCACGAGCTTCTTCTTCATTTCTCATCTACTTATGTGCTCGTTTTACATCATCCTTTCTAGTCTTCTGACACGCATCATAGGGTTACGGACTATCGGAAGACTAAACAATTGGATGTTAAAATGTCAATAGTGACCAGTTGTGACTCTAAAATGTGTCATGTTTGAGTGAACTGTGCCATGTTTTGTTTTGTGGCTTTTATGGACATTTTCATCACGATTGCGAGACGTAATGGCATTATGACGTATCGGTTCTCAATATTGGCTAGTACATAAATGGAAGTACTTGGACTGGAGGTGCTTTGTCACTGTCTAGAATGAATTAATAACTGAAGAAGGCGGAGCCTAACTTAAATTGCATTGAAATATTTTTAACGCTAGAACGACCAGGATTTTGAAAATACTACACCTACCAGTGTCTGTTGTACTCTGACAATGACGCCATCGCCTAAAATGCTGATGCCGAGAACTCCGTCCTGAGCGCACCCCGCATTTTTTTCCTTGAGGGAATTACCGTATTTTCCTCACCATAAGGCGCACCTAAAAGCATTACATTTTCTCAAAAGCCGACAGTGCACCTTGCAACCGGCGCGCCTTTTATATATATATATATATATATGGATCAATATTCTGATTTCTTGGATGCAGTATTTTAAATGTTCTGTAAAGCGCTTTGTTACAGCTGCAGCAGTTGTGAAAGCAGCCACTATTGTAGCTTCTATTCTATACGCCTTATAATGTGGCGCGCCCTATGTATGAAAACAGCTTTAAAATAGGCTTATACTCCGGAGCGCCTTATAGTGCGGAAAATACGGTATGCCAGATGAGCACCACATAAGCTCATTATTGTACTGATATCATGACCATCACTTCTAACAGCCTATTTTACTCTTTTGTTTTCTCAATCTGAAAAACCGGTGTATATATAGGTGGTGCATCTCTACTGATATTATCAATCTAGGATTTAGAGTCCGGGTATTGCTTAGAGTGATAGGTTGATGCCAGGCATAAACAGGGGCCTGCTGTTTACATGTCTGTCAGGGCCCAAGGTCTTTTCCTTTTTTGTTTTCACCGGCTGTGCTGAAGGAAGCTCCTCTAAAATTCACCTCACAGTCAAGGGAGAGAGAGAAAATCTCTCGAGCGGTGTTCAAAAGTCTTGAGAGGGAAAACAGCGGAAGTTGGCTCAGTCACTGCTTCGCATCGCTTTAAAATAGATATTTCAGATTACGCAGGCTGTTTGGGGGAATGAAAGTGCAGTGGGGGGTTCGAAGAGTCACCGCGGCGTTCGGTGTAAACCCGAAGGTGGGGCCTAACGTCTTGTATTATTAAAAGGTTTTCTTTTGAATCTACACAGGTCGGATTTAACGTGCATTTAGTCCTGTCAGTGTGCTGTGATCCGTACTATGTAGGCTAAGGCAATTGGTTTGATGTATGTTTCCTCAATGCGTATATTCAGCAAAAGGAACACTCACCTTTTGTCGCTCTTGTACTCTGAGAGTTTCTAAATTGGTCAGCTTCTTTCCATGTGACATCAGTTGCAGAGTTGCAACTTCTGTGCGCCCCCGCCCCTCCAAAAAAAGAAAAAACAAAACACATTTTGGGGGATAATGCTCTACTAAATCACACTGCAAATTCGATTCATTTTGTGATTCGAATTGTGTGCCCCGAAGAAAGATACTTCTGAAGTGCGTGAGCATCAGCACAACATACACTGCTTTATGCTTTATTGCGCAAGCGAGGCATTTTAAAAGCTGTTATTGACAAGCACTTGCAATCTCTCATTTTCCAAACGACTGAAAGTCACATCGGCGATCATTGTTGGCGAGCGACCCCTCAAATGTCAAGAAAAGAATGTTTCACCTCAAAGCCGTAAGCACTGTAAAATTTCCGCAGCGTGTAACAAATAAGAACCTCTTTGAAATGAAGCCCCAATCAACACGTCTGGCTCTTTGAAGCTGCATGAGATTTCTATTCTGCTTAGTCGAGCTTGTGAACGTGCCCCTTGCTGTTCAATATCTGTGGATAATGAAAGCCACTCATTGCGCCCGCGCGTTTCTACTCAATAAGTTCTCTCCTTGCGTGAAAAAAAAAAAAAAACATGAAAAGAGACATGCAAAAATTATATTCTTCTAATCTTGTCAGCATTTTTCAACTCTGGTTCTCTTGCAAACTTATTTCATGTCTCTTCCAATCTCCCTCTCTGTCTCTTTCTCTCGCTTGGCTTTTTCCAGGTGGACTTGCTGGTGCCGACCAAGATCACGGGTATCATCACCCAGGGAGCTAAAGACTTTGGCCATGTGCAGTTTGTCGGCTCGTACAAATTGGCGTACAGTAATGACGGAGAGCGGTGGAAAATATACCAAGATGAGAAGCAAGGAAAGGACAAGGTATGGATCGCGTTCACCCCGTTACACTCAGCCACCATGTGCATGCTCATGGATGAAGGGCATTCTTATTCGATGCCATTCAAAATGGCTACATTCCAGAAAAAATTTTTTAAATGAAAAAGCAGTCAAATAAAACTGAACAAACAAGTGTGAAGCTGATTAAAATGCCAAATCTCCATTTTGGCCATCTCCCGCGTCTCTTTTCCACGTCGACAGCTCCTCTTCCAGCCCTCGGACTGACCTAGCTCGGATTGCCTTTGCGCTTTAGGATCAGATAAGACTGTTGTGTCAACCAAGCTTGACCGGTTCTGATCAGACAATCTTGTTTACGACCCTTCAGCGGGGTACACATGTCCCCTCCAATCGGCCTCGACATCAGAGGCAGCGGGGCTGCACTCGGCTTCTCTGTTGATAGGAAGAGAGCTGCAGCCGGAACTAAAAACCTTTTGTCTTTTCACATGCTGTCGGCAAGTGGGCCATTGTTTACTTTTCTCAGTCTCCGTGTTACTGACAGATAAGCACTGCCTCTTGTGATTCTATTTGTGACTGGGTAAGACCACGGCAATGGAAAATCCACAGCCCTTTTGAAGACCTTGCCACATTGAGCCAGTTTACATTTCATGACACTTGCAAATGTGCGGAGCTTCTCCGGTGTATTATAAGAGGGGCAATTTTGGAAAAACTTCAAATAAAATGAAGTTGAACATTTAGTTTTGTTTTTTTTTTTTATAAGCAGACATCCATCTACACGCAAGGCCACTACCTAATTGCTCTTTTTCTTTTTTTCTTCACTTCAACTGAGCGGTGATATCCGAAGCTTGCTTATAACTCAAATTATGGCTGGCACTTAACACAAACCAAAGTAGTAATAGTAATACATTCATAAGTACAAGCATTGGTATTTAAATTTAAAAAAAAAAGGTGAAAAGTGAAAACCCTGCCATGATTTTGTTGCCATTACGGATGATTGTCAAAAACGTCGACTTTGCTCAGCTTCGTCTGGGAGTCTCCCCTTTCGAAAGTAAGAGACAATTTCAGGCTTCGCAGATAGCTTTCGTTTACCACACACGTTTTCAGAACATGCGCGCCGTGCCTCCGGAAGTACGACAACGTACGAGTCGATCAGTCGCGTTGCTAGGCGACGGAGGGGCATCTCACGCTGTACGTTTTGCTTATAAGCCAGGTCGCGGTGGCAATTAGCTTCCCGCAGTTCGTTCTAACGAGGGCCTTTTCACTCCTTTGTGGGAAAAATCCGGTCGTTATAATCAAGTTGACGTCATTAAGGAAGCAAAATCCGCAAATGGAAAATGAATTGCATGAATTTGGGACTTTGAAGTGTTATAGGGGTGGGAACGTTGTCAACGGGGTCCATTGAAATGACGTTCGACTGTGAAAAGCTCTTTCTTTCAGTGTATAATGCACCTCCCCCCCGAGTTGTTGTGGCAATATACTTCAGGGCAAAACAAGGACAGCCAGTCAGCCGGAGTGTGCGCGCTATTAGAGGAGAGCCTTGTTTAGCAGGGCTGCGGAGAATGTCAATCAGTTTGTCCTGAGAGTGAGCCAGGGGACCTTTCAGAAGCATGATTCTTCAAGGTGCCCCCCCCCCTCCCACCCTCAACCCTCAGACAGCTCAAGTTGCCATTAATGCCAGAGGACACATTTGACTGTCGGGCTCCTGTGGCTCCTCCTTCCACACCACAATAGTGGACTTGACAGGGATGTATAGTGCGTGTGTGTGTGTGTGTGTGTGTGTGTGTGCGCCTGGCTGGTCGGTTTGGGCACAGTGTTCGATGCTTCTAAATATTCTTCTCAGCTGCTGCCTTCAGCTCTTGTGTGGCAGCAGCTAAAGGCGGTTAGATGGAGATTTAGAAAGGAGCCTCTGTCAGAATACAGATATCGGCAGTCAGCGGCTCGCTGGCACTCATATCAGGATCCCCTCGCAAAGTCCATAGGAGACCGTTGTTGTTGCCTTTTCTTCGCACGAGACGCGTCGCATCATGACGTCGTCCTTCACGATGCACTGCATGGGCACGTTTATTCATCGATGTGTTCATCAGTGGGGCTTCGTCCCGAATCCTAATTCTGACCAAGACATTTCTGATGGTGTGCTTCCAACTTTGTGGGAACCGTTAGGGGATGGTCCTGTTTTGTTCCAGCGCACCGTAAAAGAGAGACGTCAACGACGGTATCAATGTTTTACTTCCTGCCAGGTTTTCATGCGCATTCAAGTCCAAAGGTGATCCAACAACAGGCCAGTTTCATTTGAAGGGAATTTGTATTTGGTGAATTGGCACATGATCAGGATAATGCACTTTAAAAAGTTATGTTTAGGCTTTAATTACAAATATTTACAATTACCTGTTTTTATAGTTAAAAATACATTTTCCCATTAGTAGCAGACAATCTTGAGCGCCATTAAGGATCAATTTAGAACACTGGATATGTGTCCTTAGAAAGGGTGTGATTCATTTTGGATCTTTGAGTTATTGTCAAAATGTAAGCGAAATCAAAATATCTTTATTTTTCTTGGGTTGTAGTTCAAGGCGACAAGATTTTCTGAAAATTAGCGGTTTGTCAAACAGATAAGTCCACTTGATGGCCAGTTCAACCTGAATACGACACACTGAACATTTTAAAAATCATATGACGGGTTCCGAACAAATTGGGTATTTTGAGTTGCAAAAAAAAAAAGGCTTTTTTTTTGTGCAATATCAAAAAATATCTTGAAATTATAGAAAAACAGGCTAACTCCATTCTTTTTTCAACATATCTCCAGTGGACCATTGTGTTTGGCCTGCTACTCTGGGAAACCCCTTGCCTTTTTTTTTTTTTTTTTTTACACCATCGCTTGTTGGGATCAATCAAGACCGAGTTATTGATTTATGTGTCACACTGTTTCCACTTGGGTGTCATGAGGTTAATTAGCCATTAGCTCCTTGATTTGCAAAGAGGTGACAAAATATGGTTGCTGTGAAAACAACTGCACATGAACTTGCTCATTCCACCGCTTGTCTGGCAGCTTGGGGGGGGTGGGAGGGGGACGCTGGATCAGTCATCAATAATTAAAATCAGTTTTGGGCTAGTGACGTTTCGGTAAGAAAACTGCCAGGTTTCCAATGTCTCTCTATCAAGGATAATAAGCGCAAATAAATGTGGGTGACTCGGACTCTTAACCTAACCAGCAGGTTGAAATAACAGACACGTTCATATTTCCCAAGACACACAAGGCCTCCGCTGGCAATGTGAAGCTACCAATTGACCAGACAACACAATCAATAGTTTTGCAGTTCCAGAAGCAGTTTTGAGTAAGAATTTGGAGTTGCATTATTGTGTCTATTTTTAAATCATCCATCCACTCCTGATTACTCGAGATTGCGGCTCCCCGGAGAAGAGATTGCAAATTGGTTTGCAATTAAGGATTAAATTCGGCCTATCCCTCGGGCTGATTAAAGTTACCGACCGGGCGGATATGCAACTTCATTGGGAACATTTCATTGTACACATTAAGCTGCAAATTCTGCGCTAATAGTACTCAAGTATTAGTCACGACCAACCGTAAACCCTTCTGAGGTCTGTATACCAAACGCTGCAAGGCAGGATAGGATTGCTCAACACCTTCCATTAACATGATAGCGTTAAAGCGGAGTTTCTGAAGAGATGGAAGCGTGTTCGTAAAATTTGTGTCAGACGTAACTGGAAACCCTTTTCACTGGAGGAGCAACATGATGAAACGGAATGTGTAAGAAAACTGTCAATCGGTATTTATTTTTTTTAAAGAATATCAAACGTATGGCAAAACCAATGAAAGACTGCAACTGTCACATGATCAAAACACGAAGACGGAGACACACCCAATACGGCAGCAGTGTTGCCACTAAATGACGTCGTTACCCAATTTGCATCATTGAACGACGTGCACGCTTTAATGGAGGCTGGGGAAGAGGACAGTGCATTCACGTTTCCTGTGCAGTTTGGACACGGAGGGGTCAACCTCTCCTGCTCTGACAGCAGCTGGGACGGGGCTGGGCCGCCCATGAGCGCTCCGGGATGGGATGAGAGGCCGACGGAAGCACCCGCCGCACGTCGAGAACCATAAGAACGATACGCGCTTTCAAATGAGAGTCTCCAGTAACACCAGAAAAAGTCGCCAGATTCCGTCGCTAGTCGCTTTTTTGAAAGAGTGGTCGGAAAAGTTGACAACACTGTTTGGCAGTACCCAATAAAAGCAAACAAGGGATAAATGAATTATGACAAGAAGGCACAAAGAGGTGCAAGTGACTTGGTCAGTAATATGCAATTGCGCCAAAATGGGCGATAATCTCGGGGATTTCACTTGCACTGTGAATCATTACTTCATTTACAATAAAAAAATGCTGGATGTTTAAACAAACTGTAATTTTCTAATTTAACGTAACACCAGAAAATTGATAGATTATAAATTCAGGGTAATGAATACATAGATTGGGTTTCGAGGTCCATATTTTGGCCAAGGGACTAATTTCTTGAAAACAGCAGTTCTCTTTATCAATTTGGGCTGCAAAACGTTGATTTGACGGTAATTGAATTCTTCCCTTTGAGCGTGTCAAGAAAAGTTTTGTCGAGCCATTGGCAAAAAGAATCCTGGTGTTTAAAAGTAAAAGAATAATAATAATAAATTGAATCCCAACACAATGAGTCATTGTTCTTACTTTAGAAATGTACACAGTGACATAAAAGATGCTTGAAAAGCGACATACTGTCTACTAAAATCAAGGCAAAGCTTTTAAGGCTTATTTTAGGAGAATGAGGAACTGTGTGTAAAAAAAACAGCGCCACAAAGCATCTTATTCTCAACCAAAGTCATTTGGTCATAACCATCTGCTTAAATGAAACCTCCACGATATGCGTCTTCTAAAACGCCCCCCCCCCCCAAAATATGAAAATGAATTGTTCATCATTTGCTTGGATTTGGCCCACTGATTTTTCCATTTTGCACAACAGTGAGTCTCATTACATTCTAATTCCACAGGCCTAATCATGTGTTTTTAATTGGACTGATCATATCCTTCAATGAAGCTGCCCCCTCTGGTAGATTCATTTCCTCTTAATAAACTTCACTCTACTGTCAATTAAGCACTTACGAATGCAATGCTGCATTCTGCATGTTTGTAGCCATGACTTGGGCCCCGCGCTGTTGTTTAAAGGTTTATTGCAAGCAAAGCGATTCATAAATTCATTATCAGACTTCATTTAGCCTCCATTTGTTGCCTGGGTACTTCAGTGGCCGCACTGCGGTGTACATGTGACGACAATTCCTATCAGCATGCGCCACAAAGTGTTACGTTGATTATATTTTACAGTCCCAAGCCGACAATAGCGGGACAGAGCTTCTGAAATATTTTTGGCGGGCACTAAAGTGGTTATTTCATTTCTGCGGATATCAAAAAAAAACTAACAAAAAACTAAATACATGAATGAAAAGACCGCCTCACATTTAGATGTGTTAAACAACTCAGGACAGAGCACTTCCCGTTTGAAGCCACCCGCTTTTCAAGTGAGCAAAAGTATTGGAGCAGACATTATGAAATGAAAAAGTGAATTACATTTCATATTTGGCGGCATAAGCCTTGCTTGCAATCACTGCATGAAGCCTGCAACCAGCTGACTTCACCAGGCAATCGATTATCTTTATTTAAAATGCTTTTCCAGGCCTTTACTGCAGACTCGTTCAGTTCTTGTTTGTTTCTGGGGCAGTTTTCCTCTTCAGTCTCCTCTTGACGAGTTAAATGCAGGCTCTAGTGGATCAGGGACCAGTGATTGACTTCGACAGCCTAAGAACGTCCACTCTTCCCTATGGTGAAGTCCTTTGTTGTGTTGGCAGTGTGTTTTGCGTCATTATCATGTTGCATGATGAAGTTTGAATATATTTTTCTCTAAATTGCCAGACAAAATAGTTTTGTAGAGTCCAAATTCGTTCTGCTGCTTACATCATCAGTTACGTCATCAATAATGACTAGTGAGCCTGTTGCAGAAACAGTCATGACATTACCTCCATCGTTTCGGACTACAGTGGATTTTGCAAAAAAAGTACAGAGATGACTTTGGAAGTCTGGAAAGTTTTATGGACCGATGAGACCAAATTTTACCAATACCAAAGCGATGGAAAGGCCTAAATATGGATTAAGGAAGGATCTGCTGAGGATGCCAAAAGAACAAAAGTTCCGTGTGTTTCTCTGCTTGCAGGTCTTTCAGGGGAACTTTGACAACGAGACCCACAGAAAGAACGTGATCGATCCACCCATCTACGCTCGGCTCATCCGGATCCTTCCGTGGTCATGGTACGGAAGGATCACTTTGCGCGCAGAGGTACTCGGCTGCACTGTGGAAGAGTGACGTCCTTCCCTGCTTGGTTTCAACATCTTTCCCGTCTTAGCGGTATACTGGCGTATGTCACCCAGTGGTGGAAAAACAAACTGTGCAACCTGTAAAAAAGAAAAGAAGAAAAAAAAAGATTTCCAGTAGTTTGTTTTTATTTCAGGAATTTTGTGAAGAGTCACCATTTTTGATCTATCATTTGTACAATAATTTAATGCTCTCTGTTAGTTTCTTATGTCACTTGAGTTTTCTTTACAGCGTGATCCTTGCCTTTTTATTGTTCTTGAGAACTGTAATATACATTTGTGGGTTCAGGGTTGGGGGTGTGGGGGCGGGGGCTGTGTGAGGCTGGGGGTCTCACTGTGGATTTGCCATACAAACTATTGTACAGAGTCACTTTTTAAAACAAAGTAGGCGTTGGCCATGTTGCGTTCGCACCCTCGCACACGCAGACAACCACACGTGCACACACAAACACACACAGACACGCACACGCATATGAAATGAAAAAGTGAATTACATTTCATATTTGGCGGCATAAGCCTTGCTTGCAATCACTGCATGAAGCCTGCAACCAGCTGACTTCACCAGGCAATCGATTATCTTTATTTAAAATGCTTTTCCAGGCCTTTACTGCAGACTCGTTCAGTTCTTGTTTGTTTCTGGGGCAGTTTTCCTCTTCAGTCTCCTCTTGACGAGTTAAATGCAGGCTCTAGTGGATCAGGGACCAGTGATTGACTTCGACAGCCTAAGAACGTCCACTCTTCCCTATGGTGAAGTCCTTTGTTGTGTTGGCAGTGTGTTTTGCGTCATTATCATGTTGCATGATGAAGTTTGAATATATTTTTCTCTAAATTGCCAGACAAAATAGTTTTGTAGAGTCCAAATTCGTTCTGCTGCTTACATCATCAGTTACGTCATCAATAATGACTAGTGAGCCTGTTGCAGAAACAGTCATGACATTACCTCCATCGTTTCGGACTACAGTGGATTTTGCAAAAAAAGTACAGAGATGACTTTGGAAGTCTGGAAAGTTTTATGGACCGATGAGACCAAATTTTACCAATACCAAAGCGATGGAAAGGCCTAAATATGGATTAAGGAAGGATCTGCTGAGGATGCCAAAAGAACAAAAGTTCCGTGTGTTTCTCTGCTTGCAGGTCTTTCAGGGGAACTTTGACAACGAGACCCACAGAAAGAACGTGATCGATCCACCCATCTACGCTCGGCTCATCCGGATCCTTCCGTGGTCATGGTACGGAAGGATCACTTTGCGCGCAGAGGTACTCGGCTGCACTGTGGAAGAGTGACGTCCTTCCCTGCTTGGTTTCAACATCTTTCCCGTCTTAGCGGTATACTGGCGTATGTCACCCAGTGGTGGAAAAACAAACTGTGCAACCTGTAAAAAAGAAAAGAAGAAAAAAAAAGATTTCCAGTAGTTTGTTTTTATTTCAGGAATTTTGTGAAGAGTCACCATTTTTGATCTATCATTTGTACAATAATTTAATGCTCTCTGTTAGTTTCTTATGTCACTTGAGTTTTCTTTACAGCGTGATCCTTGCCTTTTTATTGTTCTTGAGAACTGTAATATACATTTGTGGGTTCAGGGTTGGGGGTGTGGGGGCGGGGGCTGTGTGAGGCTGGGGGTCTCACTGTGGATTTGCCATACAAACTATTGTACAGAGTCACTTTTTAAAACAAAGTAGGCGTTGGCCATGTTGCGTTCGCACCCTCGCACACGCAGACAACCACACGTGCACACACAAACACACACAGACACGCACACGCACACACACACACACACACACACAAACGCATCAAATTGTCAAATATATTTTTTACTTTAACTTTGCCAGGCCATGCTTTCACCTTAATGGGCACTTGCGTTACTGCATTAAACAAAACCGTATTTAATGCTCTTGTATTATATGTAAAAGACTAGGAAATTGCATGGTGCGTGAAGGAAAAGACCGCTTAATACGACAAATCAGTCAAAACCTCCAGCCGTGAAGGTAATGGCTTCAATTTAGGGAACTGTTTTTCCATAAGCTTTCAAATTGTTCTGAAACAGGGGAGCTTTGTGAAGTCGGCAAATACTCTCGGCGATTCATTCAGTTGCGTTGCCGCGCCGACGCGGATGTTGACGTGCTCATTTGTATTCATTTTTGCTCATTACTATTATGTCATAGATTTGTGTTTTGAGTGTTTGTGCGTTTTTGTATTTATTCCAAATTTTTTTTCCTCCACATTTTATAAATCTGTGTTCAGTGTTGTCTATGGTAAGCTGAATTTATTAAAAAGCTCAGGATATACTGTATGCCCCATCAAGCCCACAACTGCATACACTATCTGTGATTTATTATTTAACCACAATGGTTAGTCAGTAAGCGTAAGTCAATAAGTGAACCGTTTACTTTGATTATGTTTAAATCGACAAATGTCTCTTGTTTTTGGAAGGAGAGCACCCTTGATGAATCATGCAGCGACGTAAGCGATGTTTGTCACGCACTTGCAATAACCATGGTAACAGTTGACCAAACACTCTCCAAACGGCACAAGGATTGTTTCTCCAATTCAATGGGATGGTTCCTATTAAGTGCAAATGCATTTACAATCGTAAAGTGAGAAGTTTTGTGGTTCTTCTTGACACATTTGTCACAATATTCGAACGCGTGGCACAATGTGGACTGGTTAACACGTCTGACTCACAGTGCGGAGGTGCAGGGTTCGATTCCAGCTCCGGCCTTCCTGTGTGGAGTTTGCATGTTCTCCCCGTGCCTGTGTGGGTTTTCTCCGGGTACTCTGGTTTCCTCCCATATTCCAAAAACATGCATGGTAGGTTAATTGAACACTCCAAATTGTCCCTTGGTGTGAGTAGGAGCCCGGATGGTTGTTTGTCTATGTGTGCCCTACGATTGGCTGGCAACCAGTTCAGGGTGTCCCCCGCCTACCGCCCGAAGACAGTTGGGATAGGCTCCGGCATGCCCGTGAGGATAAGCGGATTAGAAAATGGATGGATGGATAGTACGCACACAAGTACCAGCTAAAAAAAAAAAAAACATGCTGCATCAAACACATCGGTGGGAGCAAGCTACGCTAACAAACAACATCAATGGAGGAGAATGGATTTCTGGTTTCTTTGTGGTGTGTGGCTGTTGGTCATGTGTTATTATTTTTGCTATTTCTAGCCATAAATTCTCAATGTGTCAATGACGAGCCATCAACAAATAACTAAAAGTGGTTTGCTGTCAACAGATATGCAGTATGATAGACGCTTGGCCTGCTTGGAACCCCCACCAGTGAGGTACAAAATAATACCCAGTGCTAGCAGTTTATACCAATGGAAAAGCAGAAAATCCTTGTCGAGCGCTGATGACGATTAGGTAGTCTGCTGTGGAATCACATTCTGAATATTCTAGCTGGCTTGTATGGTTACAAAAAGGTGTCAAGTGTGCCCGACTAATTGGATGTTCTTTATAACGGTCTCCAATTACCATTGCAGTTCTCTCGTTGATCCAAACTTCTTAGCTTTAGAGGAAAGTTGAAGGGAAATGCCTCTCTTGTGCCACATTACTGATGAACTTTAAGGAATTTATCCAGTTATTTCATACTGTACAAATGCAACACATCCAGTCTTAGATTGCGGTAAAGCCTGAAATGGAAAATAATGTATTAAGAGAAAGTCAACCATTTCATTTAATGCTCCAAGCTCACCGTATGGCAGCAGTTGTTTCATTCATTTGGTATTCAAATTTAGGGAAGCTAAACATCAAGGAAGTCTTTGTCCAAGCGAGAAAAAGCACAGCAAAACAAAAAAACATCGACACAGACAACCTTAGCTGTGCAAACTGTTGTAAAAAAAAAAATGATGTTGTAAATGACTCATTTATGAAATATCGCATAACGACTGGCATTCTTCACGTTCGTGGATGCAAGACAAGCATAGACAAGCGTCTTATTTTTTGCGCTAAAAAAAGTAGTTTACTGCCGAATCCCTTCATCCGGCATCTGGTCCTTGTTGCCCGTGAGCACAAGAGTGGGCAGATTTGCATGATGAGTTTGAACTGTATAGTATAAAGATGTTCACCGGTACATTAAGTTGTTGTATTCCACACAGGTTTTACTTTGTACTCGCCATTGATTGTCTTATGTGTTGTACAAGTGCATCTCAAGAGGGAGTAGAAAATGAAGAGAAGCTCATCTTGTCTTTGTATGTCGACATCATATTACCTGCTCAACCCGAGTGTCCAACTAGAAAATGTAATTAAAAATAACGCTGGTTAGGTTCAAGCCAGCTGATGTGACACCAGATGTTGTGTACAGTTAAAAAAAAAAAAAAAGATGCTTCAACTCCAAAACTCAGTTCAGTTTGACAAATAAAACATTATCTGTGAAAGTATTGTGGTTGTGTTTTTTTTTTGTTTTTTTTTTCAAATCAGCCAAAACACTGAGAGCTCTGTTTTCGTCAACCGTGCTGCGTGCGGCATAACTGCGCAGAGGTGGGTCGGAATTGATCATTGGTAACCACACAAACAAGCACGGGTTGGCGGATCTGAGAGAGGGAGGGATGCGCCGATGTGGGAGTGGTCTCAGCCGACTTCAATCACTGCAATCTTGTTCCGTTTAAATGTGGTGCCAAGATCGTGCAGTCCTGTATGTCTAGCGTTGTGGGCGAGACAAAATTAAACAATGGGCCAAGTGTGCTCCCAAAAAAAAAAAAAACATCATGATCTCGATGCTGGGTCGAACCATATTCACTCCATGTTGCTCGCGGTGATACAGAGCTTTTATCGATGGCTCTCCTCTCTAGGCCACCGCTTTACACAGAGCAACAATTGGCAGATTCGTACCTCACGCAGACAGCAGATGTTCCACATCAAAAGACTGCGACTGCGAGGAGTTCGAGCAAGGGACTCAACACTATTTTAAAATGCACTACACAGTAAGTGGCAGGCTGCTGTGCACGAGTGGAAACGATACAGTGCAAAGTATACTATGAAGTATGTATCATCCAATCACATTGTAGTCCGTATTTACTGCCGTGTCAATCTAATGTGCCCGGGCCCTTCAGAAATCAGTAGCAATGAGATGTTTTGCTCTGACTGCCCCTATGACAAAGTTG